CCTTGGTGCTATTTAATACTGTAATTTCTTCTTTAAAAAAGTTAAAGGCCAAAAAGCACACCAACTTAATGCATTGGTCATTTAAAAAAAAAAAAGAGTAGATGAGCCTCTGGTGCATTATAGATTCTGAAAATCCTTACACTGAAGTTGGTAATTGCATTTTGCCAAAAACATTGAAGCTGACAAAAGAGCATACATCTGACTAGGGAATACTCATGTTTTTTTTTCTTCGTAGAGGTAAGTAAAGTCTACAGCTTGCAGGGTCTGAACTTGAATGTCACCAATGGGGATGGTAGGAGGTTATAAATAAGGCATAAGGCCTTGGTCTATTTTTTTGTTGTTTAATGGATAATGGGTTGAAATTTTAAGTAACTGCTGTTCTTTTGATAGACAGGAAAAGAAAAGGCAGGAAAATGGTAGCCAAAATATACAGCTTCTAGCCCAACTGTTTAATTAGAAGAACAACCATTACTAATACTCTAATGCAGAATGGATTAAATATGGATTACTTAAATAGATTTGAAATCATAAATCTATTAAATATAGAACCTCTGTAAAATTGAGGAGTCTAATATTATAATTTTAGTAACTTTAGGATTTTATTGTTATTAGTATTTGGTTTTCCTATTTGTATTAACAGTTCAGGTGGCAGCCAAAACTAGATGGGTTACAGTTTAATGAATTAGACAAGTTGAGCTAATAGTCGCTGGAGAGAGCGTTTACTAACAAGGAAATCCTTGATGGTCTCATGTATTGCAATAAAGATGCTCCAGGGCAGATGGGTTCAATATGAACTTCATTCAAGAAAAGTTTGGCATATTGTCAAGGATCATATTATGGAGATAGTCAAAGAGATGCATGACTCAGGTTCTTTTTTAAATTCATCATTCGTGGTACTTATTGCCAAAGTTGAAAGAGCAAGAAATATGAGAGAATTTAGACCCATAAGTCTGGTTGCATGTATATACAAGCTCATTTCAGAAGAATGTTCAAGGTGTTGGCAAAAGTCATTGGGAAATGTCAGCATGCCTTCGTGGAGGGTACGCAAATATTAGATGCGATAATGGTGGCAAATGAAGTGGTGGATGATCTTATTTATAGAAAGAGGAAATGGATGTTATGCAAGTTAGATATGGAGAAAGCTGATGATAATGTAAATTGAGAGTTTGTCAACTATATGCTGAGAATGTTGGGTTTCGAAGAGAAATGAAGGAAATGGATGCATACTTGTATTACTACCATCTCTTTTGTTGTGTTAGTGAACGAGGGTCTCTCCTTTTTTTTCAAGGCGTCCAGGGGATTGAGGCAAGAGGATCTATTGTTACCTCTGCTGTTCACTATTGTTATGGAAACACTGAACAAGTTATTGATAAGAGCGGGGGAGTTGGAGTTCTTTACGAGAGTGACCGAGGAGGTGACCCATCTCTTTTTTGTGGATGACTCACTAATCTTTTGGCAGCCGGATGAGAAGATAATACTCAATCTTAGGTGTGTTCTCCTATGCTTTCAATCGGTGTCTGAACTCAATATAAATTTGTCCTCATGACAGAGGGGATGATGCGAGATTGGCTGGTGTGTTGGGTTGCAGAACAATAGGACTTCCTATTAAGTATCTGGGGTCTCCATTGGGGTCCAACTCCAAGAATGAGAAAATTTGAAAACCATTGATTGAATTGTTTGAAAGAAGATTAGCTGGATGGAAAAGAAACCTCTTATCTAAAGGGGGAAGGTTAACATTTATAAAGAGTAGGCTAGTAAACCTTCCAATTTACTCCTTGTCCATAATGAAAATTCTAGTGAAAGTTGCAAAGAAATTAGAGGCTATACAGTGTTGGTTTCTATGCGGAGATGCTGAGGACAAGAAGTATCATTTGGTAAAATGAGGAGAGATCAAGAAGCCCTTGACTCTCAGGAAAAATGGTTGTGGAGACATATGAAGGAGAATGGCAGGTTGTGGAAGAGAGTAATAAATGCTAAATGGGCGATTACTAGATAGCGGTTGCTTCACAAGGGCGAACGCTAGAACCCAAAGGGTGGGTTTATAGACGAGAATTAGCATGGGGAGACAAAAATTTAAGGAGCGTGTCAGTTGGAAAGTGGGGAGAGGGAATAGCATTTTGTTTTGGCGGGATGAGTGGGTTGGAGTGGGAAGCCTTAATAATCAATTCCCTCATATTTTTGTCATTTCTTGATTCAGAAATTATAGTGGAGTGGAGAAGGTATACAGGATTGGTGGTGGTAAAAAGAGTGGGAGGTTAGGGTGAATAGGAATCCTAATGATTGGGAGATTGAAAAATTCGAGGCACTGCTCCATTTACTCTCTATGGTGAATCACAACAATTACAAGGATCAATCAGTGTGGAAAGTAAAGAAGAAAGGAG